ACACAGCGGCTGAAGCGATGAATGTCTAAAAATTACCAATCGACGAAAAAAGTTGATGAATATTAGAGAATTGTAATAACTGCACGTTGCATCAATACTAGATATTGTCAAGTACGTACAGCCAATGGTATAGCTTACAGATAAATAGATAGTAACAACTCTGCGAGAAAAATTTTTTAAAATATTGCCATTTAATGAAGAGGGCTATACTGTACAGTAAGTGGATATAATGCATCGGCAGAGCAGTTTCAGCGAGGTGTACGAAAGACTGAATTTCAAAATGGTAAGATCGACTGTACAGTGTACAGTACAATTGCTAACTGTACGATAACAGCAGTTGGGTAAATCCCCTTTATTATGTAGACAAAACGTCGTTATAGATGTAATTACCGCATAAAGGAAGCTGTGAGATTTGTTGTTATCTACGGAACTAGTACAGTACATATACAGTATTGTAATGACAACTTGGGTAATTAACAGTAAATCATTATATTATAATTAAATAAATATGCCATGAAATGCTGTACTGTACTGTCCAAGAGTGCAGAAACTGCTTTGTTACTAAAATGTCATTTGTGCTTCCTCTGCTTGATGAGCTCACATCTATTCTGATGGTAATGTACAGTATATATATGACATATACAACAACTGTACTGTAATGTATTTTTGGAATAGGGGAAATATTTTTAGTTACGGCTTTGAGGGGAGAATTTTTAGTCGAGTAGTCCCTGGTAGCGGCAATTTGCTTGAAATATTTGGAGGCAGCAAAGTAGGCTGCCACATCCTAATAATGTACCAGTATTTTGTATGGAATTTGGTCTGTTACTTCATTTACTACTAGCAGAATCATGTTACAGTTGAATCCATATCAAAAACTACTAAAAAGAAAGACAGCGACAGGACTCATTAATAAAAGTCAAACATCAAAGGGAACCGTTCTATCACGGAATTTAGACCAGCATTGTGTCCGTATTAAAGGAATTTCAAGCACGCACAGACCAATAAAATATTTATTTCACAAGGATTGCAAAGAGTCCCCGATGTAGTGTTGTATCATACTGTGTGCAACCCGAGCAAAGAGCCCTTTGCGATCATTCCTATTGATTGTTTGATACGTTTCATAAAGCCACATTAAAGTAAGTAATTAATAACGTAACATATAAATGTGAATGATGTACTCTACTGTAATAGAACCCAAGGACAAAGGGACAATTCCATTTCACGTGAAATACACTGTGCTGTACTTTTGCCAAAGAGTTTCGTAACTGAAGTTGAATGCAGTTCGTAGATCTGTTATTATTGTACAGTACTATGGCACTACCAATATTAGGCTATTGTAGTAATGTACTAACGGTCAACTACCACAATACGCATCCTAACGACGGCTAACACTTACCACCGAAGCACCGACCAAAGGCAACACGTAATAGTATGCTAGAATCCCGGGGAGGTTTAGTCTGATAAAAACTGCAGAGACCAGAGCTCCAATAGATGCAGCTAATTTACAACTATTAAAGATAAGAATGGCTTTCATATAGCCAGCAATACGTTGGCGGAATAGCTGATTCAGTGAAGCGCTTTGATCTGCCATTTTTGTTCAATCGCGTATGAGAAAATACAGAGAAGAAATATCTTTCGTTCAATGTCTTCCAAGTTGCGCACTGGATGCGGGAAGTGGATGCTTTTCCTACAGTATTTTAAGCGTTTATACTCGGTACAGTACTGTACTGTACTGTACTGTACTGTATGCCTTGTTTGATGGTCACGTGGACATCGAAGAGTTAGTTAATGACGCATTCGGAGATCCCCATGATCTACGCGGTGCCTACTTAGGTCCCTCCCCCCTTTAAAACAGGGGCTGCTCGAAAGTTATTAAGTAATCCCTGCCCATACATTCCTCCATTTTCATTAACCAACTAACTTTTAGTCACCATGTCTTAAAGTTAAAGTCTAAGAAGGCTGAAATTTCCGCATCTGAACGTTTCTCAGGTTCGTTAATGAACTTGGCGATCACTCTCTCAATTTTTGTTTACAGTATTAACTTTAGAAAGATGCTAAATCTAACTGTACTGTACTGTACTGTACAGCAGTCTAGGCAAGGTAAGACCAGCAACTTCTAAGATGCTCTAGAGCTGGCGGTATTATAATTGCTGTTGCTGCTACGTAAAAACACTAGGATCAAGTCGATCATAAGAACCTACAGCAATCGACTTGATGCAAACACTATTGCTAGTGATATCCAAGCCGGCTCACAATAAATGAGTATTATCATAATCACTCAAACCGAAAATTAAAGACTTTCAATACAACTGACAGATGAACCTGTAAAAGCACAGTACAGTCAATATCACGATTCCAACGTTATTGCCGAGCCAGGTCTGAACTGATGACAAAGCGATCAAGGCGTATAAGTTGTATAACTGCATGCACTAGTATGACAGCGGCCACTAGTCAGCCTAGTTATGACGAAATTGGCATAGTTGTGAATGACCCCATAAGAACAATTTATACAAGGAAATCAATACAAGTTGATCGATGGATATGAGTCTTGAGCGATTTTTTATATACCGTATAGCTTAGGATCAGTAATAAAGTAATTTTATTCAATTAACATTGAATAGGGCTATCAATGCAACTGCAAGAACTTATCTTGTACTTCAAATGTTACTTATTTGCTCGGCAAATCACACTAGTAAGGCAATATATGGTATGCATAATTTCATACAGAGCTCTAACGTTTTTAGATAAACACTCTAGTATCTCTTTAACTCGATAATTGCAATTGGATAATGAAAACATTGTGCGTAAGGCTTTGCTAAATGGATCAAACACTCGTCCAGCCTGGAACTGTTGCTCTCCAAATTCTATATTGTATGTAATTCGCCATTGCGACTTATTGAAGTATACATGTGCAGTATCAAAGAGATGAAGCCTCTATATATAGCTTTCTGCTTTAGCCATAATCATGAATCCGCTGCATGCTATGATATGCAATACTGTATAATTATATACATAACAAATTATCACTGATTGTTTCTACTTAAATATTCAATTAAAGATGATATTAAAGATAGCAGATCGTGACTAAGCCAAAATATATAAATTAACTCCATTTTTAGAACTATTTACTGTTCTATTGCAGTAAGTGTAATAAAAGATTCTTTGAACTAAATATTATGACAGCTATGTGCCCTAGCTGTATCTAGACCTGAGAAAGGTTCGGTTCGGTTTAAAACCGTTATGATCTAGATACCTGTATCAATTAATCCATTAAGTACATTATGATTGATCCAAAACCTGGATGAATAACAATGAATAGAATACGTAATTTCGCTAAATTGAGGGTGAAGCAGTATTAAATGCATATTCTTGTGGTAATCCACTGGCCGCTACGCCAATATCTACAGCGGATTAATCAGACTCAGCTACGAACTTAGTTACTCCAATAGGCATTTTTAGACACAAGTACATAAATATCTGATGTGACCATTTCGTAGAACTTATAAGGTACTCTAACAATATTTAAAACATTGATGATTGTTAATAGAGTCACTACACTATGAATTGGATATTAAAACAAATCGTTACGAACTGTAATGCTATTCCAAACATTCATGAAAGCTTGTTAATTTTAGGCTTAAAACCATACGTATAAAGCGCTTGACTTAAATACCATCGAAGAACTTGTAAATAAATCATAGCACTGCATATCATCCAGTGTATTTAGCAATAGATTCATTCACCCGACTCAATTCTGTATGTCTGGTGTCATAAAGTAATTTTACAAGATGTAAGATTTGCTATCCAAGTTATCTAAGCAACTTTTGTTGAAAATTGTGATCATTGCGTATTATTAGTGTTTTATAATGAAAGCGAAATACTATAGGGTCTGTAATATTATGTACTTCGTGTACTTCATGTAAAGTTGTAACTACGATATGTCTTGTAGTAGAGTCCTATAGGGCAGCACACTACTGTATAAATAGTTATACACTTCTATAAAATAATTGATGCATTACTCAATTCTTATCTCATTGCATGTCTCACAATTGTCTACCTTGTCCTATTCCTGCTTAGAGTACGCTTATGATCTCCTCTATGTCTAAATAAAGGATCTCTTCTTCCTTTAGAATCTCTCTCATATCATACTAAGGATATACCCATCCAATTACAACAACACACAAACTCCCCCCCCCCCCTCATTACAGGGTTCGATATTGATCACCTCTCCACTTACAGTACACTGAAATAAAAATATTCAAAAGTTTCTTTACAGTAAAATTATACTCAGTAGGTAAACTTGTTAGTTCATGTTAAATTTACTGTTCGTTAATATCAGTACTTCTCATACCTACGCTTAGAAGTGAGTAATAAATAAATAAATAAATTCTACTGTAATACGAAAGAAAAAGGCTTGAAACTCAAAAAAGAATCTAATTCATTAATCAGATTTGTGAAGGAATCAATCTACAATCGTATGAGTAAATTATAACAACGATGTTCACATAGTCATTCATAATTTCCATGAGAATAGCTTACAGAAAAGGTAACTTATCCCACCCACCGTCCCTTGAAATGAGCAGCGCGGGGGTATTTATACTACTGTTAAATGACTCTGATTATGGGTTCATTTCAATAGGTCAGTATAAGATTCTTACAGTACTTTTAACCTAAAGATTTCTTCATGTAAAACGAATAGCTCTAAGGTAGTAATTTCTGCAGAGTACTGATTATTAAAATAGTATTCGTTATATCGCTAAGGGTGGCCACTGGGCCTTTAAATTTTGATTTCATGTAATATTCTGATGAAAATTGAATAAACATAGAATCTTTATAGAGTTTTCTATACAGCCATTTTGATTGTTACATTTTCTTATAACGGTTGTTATCGACAGAGCAAGCTTTGCTTGCATACGACAGCGATCCTTAGACACATTATAATGATTGGTATAGAATTGACCACAGTACGAAGGACATTCTACCGCACTGTAGATATCTTACAGTACCTGCTAATCTTAACTTGGTATGTCCATCACTGTACATTAGTTATCATAATGTGCTCTGGACCATTAACTAATCTTAATATAGCATAGTATATTACTGTTACTAGGATATATATAATATCGAATGATAATACTATCTGTTAATTTTATTAAGAAATTGACCATAAACGTATATTTGAAAGTTTCGCTCACCAACCTTAACATAGCATTAATACCGTATATAGCAACCATCCTTATTCAGTAAACATACTAATACGAAAGTTACTTAACGAAATTTGAATTGGTATAGAAATGAATGATCTGTAGGGTTTATGTGAATATTATTGAGAAGGTAGAAGTGATTGATACACATCAGTAGGTACTATTAGTTCTATTGCTCTCTTACAATTCGTAGTGTTATCCTACTGTAGTTCCCCTGTCCCGATTACTAATATGAAAGTTACTTAACGAAATTTGAATTGGTATAGAAATGAATGATCTGTAGGATTTATGTAAATATTATTGAGAAGGTAGAAGTGATTGATACACATCAGTAGGTACTATTAGTTCTATTGCTCTCTTGCAATTCGTAGTGTTATCCTACTGTAGTTCCCCTGTCCCAATTACTTTTGATTTCTATACTGTATATAGTAACCATCCTTATTCGGTAAACATACTAATACGAAAGTTACTTAACGAAATTTGAAAAGTGATTGATACACATCAGTAGGTACTCTTAGTTCTATTGCTCTCTTGCAATTCGTAGTGTTACCCTACTATAGTTCCCCTGTCCCGGTTATTTTTGATTGCTATATATCATATTACAAAAAGTATTTCTAAGAGGATAATGTTCGTTAGTCAGCGATCTGATAGTTACTGAACCTCTGTTAAATGAGCACATTATCGTAAACCGTCAGTAAAGCGACGGGAGTTTGCACTAGTATTAATTAATTACGAGTTACTGTTCGTGGTTTGAGGATAGTGACACAGTACAATACGGCAAGCTTAATTACAGTAAAATGTAGCACAGTACCTTTCCTATATTCGACTTTCCTTAACTTACAAAAATAAGTGAGCGAATTTATATTACGCGTACTTAACATACGTTATTTATTGTTATTGTATTTATTAAATACCAATACTCGAGCTGGGTCTTATATAGTAGAATAACCATAGCTGTATCTTTCTCAAATATTTTAATCTCCTTTCTGTTACCATGAAATGGGTTTTTATTTACAGTTATATCTCACGGCTGGTAGCTCTTACAGAGAAGAAGAACACCTAAACAAATGTACTCCCTTACACGCGGTCCTTAAATAATTAACCGTAAATAATGACTTGCTTATCGCTACCGAGCTACATTAGACTTAATTATACTTATTATACTAACATCTCAACTAGTACCATATTAAATATGAACAGCGCTTGCAATATATAGTTATTTAACATTGAAATACTGTATTACGTATATCGCTAGAAACAAAATATCTACAACTACATCTAAACTACCATCAGTATCGTATCCTACACTGAGCATAACAGCTGATATAATCTCTATCCATTACCGGCTATCACGTCTTTAGTGGTTATTAAGCAATTAAAATCAACTAGACACTAAATATTCGCTTTAATTTTTAACATACTATTTTACTAGATAATTCTTTAAGTTATCAGTGAATTTTAATAGTCAATTTAGAAATTACAGTCAGACACTATTAATTTATTATTGCATATATAAATACCAATAGCAGCTATGAAGTTGTATTAATCTATATCTCTCTACATTTTATTAGCGCATTTATGGAACTAATGGCTTCACATCATCATCATCATCATCATCATATGGCGGCGGATCCATAGGGGCTGTTGGTGGCTCGTCAACTGCAGATCGAGACGGCATTGCACTCGGGTTAGCGACCGGAGGATTACTATAATTGTCAACATAACTACTTTCAACATTTGCATTGGTATTGGTAGGCGTATTAGTATTTCGAGAACGACGCTGATTTCTGCGATTCCGTATCTGAACTGCTCTTAGCTATAATTCAAGGACAATAAAAATACCTCACTTAATAGTGAATCATGATTATCCAGGATAACTTTGCTTTAAAATATTATGTCACAGAAAGTCATTCTCCATAAAATGATAATTCTTGGTCATATACGAGTATTTGAAAAATGCGTATATTATACCTAGCAATGCATTCAATACTTTCTAATATATCACCATGTACCGTTTTTATAAAGGAAACACTGCCATACTTACATATGCCGAGATGTATACACTTCTCATAGTTGTCTCGAAATAGCCTGCCGATAACAGTGCTAAGAAGGCGAGAACTGTAAAACTGACAATTGTTGGCTTTATCCTGTTGTCACTTGGCGCATTAATACATAAGTAAACATACATGCCAAAAGCCACTGCAAGAGGAAGATCAAGTGCAGCAATGAAATATCGGTATCCTGCCGGCTTATGACCAAGTAAAAACATAAAATTTAATTTAAAAGATTTAAATGATTGTGATTCTCTAAGAAAAAAATGCTGCGGTACTATCTAATATAGGATTATTATAGATGAAGAGAAATAATTAAATGTAAGAGTAGTGATCATATTTCAACCGATCAAAAATATACTTATCGTAAATTTAAGTAGTTTCTGTACTGCAATCAAATTTATTTTATATCATAACGTAATTATTAAAAATTAAAGCCGAATTTTTGCCAACACAGACATTATCAAACTTGTACAAAATCGATTAATTTAATAGGCTAGAGTTAGTGAGTGAATCGTCTCTACTTAAAGAATCTATTACAAGATAATCAGATGATGTAAATTAAGATACGTAACAAATCGTTATCTATAATGTTGGTTAAAAACAAGTTGTAATGGATAAAATAAAATCCTTATTTTAAGCAAAATTGATGTGGTCAAAATAATGAAATGATCAACTGTATTCGTATTAATCTTCAGGTATAGGAGCTAATGTAGGATTCCTATAGTCGATTGCTTACGAAATATGTATGAGTAAATTGGGAAGGGTTAACTTTATCTCCGATAAAACCATGTTACAGTAAACATAATGATACTTTATAGTGATAAATTAATTAATGATAATTATTGCCTTGTTTAAAACAGTAAAATATACATATGATAGCTTGAAGATATTAAGAACGTATGCTACAAATTATTAGTTACTTACGTTACTCAAGAAAGTACCAAGACGGGTTTTTGCTGAGAAAATATAAGCGTTCATGATGGAAGAAAGAATAGTCTAAAACATAAAAATTTAGCGTTTTTCTGTCATTAGTTTATAGTCAATAATGATCATATCATAGTATATACACACCCTATAATGTAACTTTAGTAATTACAAATGTGTTAAACAGATCTTAATCGACTAAATTGGCTGCATGAAGACTTATAAAATCATAATGACTATAGATTGTACCGAAATTACGTTAAGAGAAATGGATACACTCACACGTCTAGTACAATTCGATACATTCAAGTACTTATTTGCGTTGTATGTCATTGTTAAGGCACCAACATTTTATTTAACGAATCACTATCTAATACGATACTATTAAAGTTAATTTGCAAGGTCTGGTTAACATAAATAAATCAAAGATTTAAGAGCTATGTCACCGAAACAGTTCTAGCACAATCGAGAATACGCTTGTAGTAATATCATACAGTACGTGTAAGTTTATAATGCAAAATCCGTAGCCTACAGATTCATTTTAAAAGCTTGTGGCTGTAATTGGCTCTTTTTGAATATCGACATCGAACCGTAGTAATTATTTAATAAGAGAATCGTTCGATGTCATTAAAATAAAATAATTTTAGTTATCATAATTACTTACTATGCTACAACCAATAAAAGGAACTATAATAAAAGCGTTGTCAAAGTAAAATGTGAAGAAAGTAGCCAACAGAATACAACATATTAGACAGCCGATTGAAAAGAGCAACTTAAGTATGCTAAAATTGCGAATGCTATCTAACTGCAACCGATATCGAGTGTAAAAATCGGTTGCATTTATAACGACAGGAGAGGGCATTTTTCGATTTTACGGCCTAGTAAAACGTATAAGAAACAAATTATAATTATTAGACGGCAGAAATATTTAATAATAAATGTATTCATAAATCTTGAGTCTAAATTGCTATTAAAGTTGAGCTACATGATTGCATTATTGTAATTGGAATTACTATTTATAGCTAGCTAGTAGCTGCTGAGTTTGTGTTTAAAATGTTTACGGAAAATCTTTGATCAATAATTTTAATCAGCCTACCGAAAATAGAATCAAGCGATAATCAAGAAGTCAAGCACCGTATAAAACGTTCTCTTAATGACAGCTTAACGAATTGCTAGAGATTAAAATATACGATAGCAAGAAAGGCCTCCGACGAAAACTCGAAATAGTGTCTTATTTATTAATAGCAGAATGATGACTGGATTCTAATGTACTAGTGTAGAGTGAAAGCCATGCGCTCAGAGGTGGTTTAGTGCTTTACAGAAGCCTAAACTCAACACTAACGACATGCTATGGGTAGACTGACAAAATAATTATGCATACCGTATGCAAATATCATATGTAGACAAATCATCATGTTTGTAATTTCAATAGGCTAAATGCAGTTGATTGATAATACTGTACGTTCAATAAATAAATTGAATCAATATTGCCATGGTTACTTCATTAAGAGCTATAGACATCCTATTTCTGTATTTTTATGACCGTATTTATTAGCTGCATCTATTAATAATTGCTGAGGTTAAAGTAATAGACTGTACTTGAAGAGTAATAAATCTACTGCAAAGTACAAATAAAACAAAAAATCGTGGAATCTACTTATGCAATTCTATCGAACTTTCTGTTTAAATGCGATACAGGTTGCGACTGAAAATAGAAATACGAGTATAAAATGTTACTTCCCCGTTATGGGATCACAAATGTGATAAATATGGATAATATCCTTTCTATAGCTTACTACAAGTTCGAAGTATAAGCATTTGAGAATTAAAATTATACACTCGCATCATATGGAAGTAGAATATAAGGGATTGCAGGATTATATTTCAATAAGAGTATTCGACAAATAATCGGGAGGCTCAAAATAGAAGAATATAAATAACTTTGAAAAGAACTCGTATACACTATATCTTTGTGTATAACTACTTGTTGCACTTACATACAGTAATCCAGAGTACTAACTGAATAAGTTACTAAGCTAATAACGATTTGCATAAAAGTTTATCAATTTTGAGTATGAACGAACTGTAATTCAACATCATCATCATGTAGACTTTCAACATGCTGATATAAACATTGGATACCTTAATTCATCGTGAAAGTAGATTTTTTCTCAATTATAAATGAAAGGAAATACAGTACGTAAGAGGTTTCCATCAAATTTTACATCAAGAAATCTTTGAAATATTAAATCCTAATCATAGACATAGTTAATCTGGTAATTTTCCGAACTTGGCAATTCTATTTCTTTATTATTTACTGAGTCAGAAAATAACACCCATAGTCAAATTCTACGGTAAAGCGTTGATTGCTCCAATTATTATTAATTAATCAAAACAATGTCTACGTAAATGTACTGCAGGCTTAATTTCTGCTTATAAGATAAAGCTTAGCGTGTTCGATTATTACAATTAAGAGAATTTTATAATAGAGATTAATTTATTTGAATAATTTATAATTCACATTTCAGTTATACTATTTGTATAAACCATGCTATTACTTGCAGTAACTTATAAATTACCTTTCCATTAAGTTTCTAATCCAACGTAACATCCCTAGATTTGATCAAACTAGTGTCACCAAGTTTTTCCTGGCGTATTTTAAAATGGGTAACTTAGATAGAGAAGACCTTTTATTATCTTTTTGTTATTATTTTTCGCGGGGGTCCAGGTCTTCTCTATCTTAACTTGAATCTTATGTAATAACAATATTATACTTTAAGAATTAATTGATTACTCGATTCTGTTGCGGAAAAACTACGACGAAAACTAAGTACTGTAGGTGTTAGAAGTACCTAATGAGCATCCAAAACGGATTAAAGCCATCTGACTAATTAACAATGTTTTCAAATTTCTCTTACTTTCTAGCAGTTTTATGGCAGGGATGATTCTATCTAGTTACGTTAAACTACAGAAATTTTTCTTCCAAGGCATAATCTTTGTAAGTGCTCTACTAATCCTAGTGTTATTATAATTTTATTTTGTTTGATAAATCTGTTGATTTTCCGTGTTTTATCTTAAGTTAGTCACTTATTCAGAACATTACGCATTATAGTTACTATAAATGTAAATCTTAAATTGAAAGAAAGTTTCTATACTTAGAGACTAACTCAGATTTTATCGACAGATTATAACAAATATTTAATATTGTCCATCTGATTCATATCATTGCTACGGCTTATAGTCAGCAGAAAATAGAGGTTTTACCTGCCGCTATCCATTATACTGTAATAGCCATACCGGTGAAAGTAAAACTATTCTAGTTAGGAATTGATCTATTACCGATAGCTATGACGAAATCTGCTTTACAAATATAGCAAAAGATTTATTTTTATTTACTACTATGTTATTGTAGATAATATATTTTTTATCTGACGATTTAAGTTCTTTGATAATCTATGAAAATAAAAGAAAGATATCATGAAATGTATACTATAATATATCATCTTCTTAAATTTATAGAGTACCAGGAACGATATTCTCTGTCGTAGTATTTTACTATAAAGGCTTTATAACTGTATTTACCAAGCATGTATATATATTTGTTTATTTGTAATACAGAGTAATCTATATGCTATACCTAACTTTAAATTTAATGCATGATGCCCGTTATCTTTATAATCCATTGTAACACCTATTGGTGTGATAATTCTAAATTTCAAAAGTTTCTTCAAATATTATAGAAAATATTTTATTTCGACTCATTTAGCAAATGCGGTATTACCTCTATCAATCAGTTTAAATAGTAATGAAAAATTTTCGATATTCCTTACTCGTAGGAATAAATTAATAATAATAGCCTCTACATTAGTAAATTATGTATAGCTTAAAATAAGATCTTGCCATCATTCATTTTCAGTCCAATAAAATAGCTATTCTCGTAATGAGCAAGCCGATGATCATCATACAGCTAAATTGAACTTTCCGGTAATCCTTGTAATTCTTCTCTCAATGTAAATTTACCCAATTTGATACTAGTATATCGTCACTAACAAAATGTATATATATGTATACAACCCGCGTAGCATTATCGGCCTAATTTTAAAGTAACGTCCACTAATTGCACATAGAAATTTCTACATATAATTTTAGTATATCGCATATTAAATTACAATAAATTTAAGCAACGTCAAGCGCTGCAACATTGTGTTTCTGGCATACACCTACTCTCTGTTTGGCCGTATAAAGCGCACCCACATCTATAAAGCTAGGTGCGTAACAGGGTCGCTTGTGGTGGTATAGTATGGATAGTAAATCCTCATTAAATTACTTCAAACCGAGACTTACATAATTACGATTGCAACTTCATTTTTAAGGCTATACAACTAATCTGTCATGGTGCAGTAGTGACAGTAATATGTACTGTAAAGTAAAACTACAATACAAGCATATAGAATATCAAGTATCACGAGCAAGGGTTCGACTGGTTCCTATGCAAATTACGAAGACTAGTAGACTCAATGCTCCGAAGTACGGAGGTAATATAATATATTTTATCAATGTACTGTACATAATGCAGTACATTTTATAATGCTGCTATTCACGCTGTTATGAATATTGAACATGTCGATTTTATTGTAATATAGGAGAATAATATCAAGACCAAAAGTAAAGCGCCTACATGCGCATATGGCTTTTCTTTATCATGAAATAACTAATCAACGGATCGTACTACATTAACTACGAGTAAAACTACAACGGTAAAAAGTTATTAAATGTCCTTATTTCGCAAGGCACAATCCATAAGATTGATGATCTTTCTATAGCGATTTAACGTGGTACGGCCAAAAATACATATAGTACTATGCATGATTTTTCAAACAAAATGTGATGCAAGTTATAATATGAAAAATCATTTCTACGTTAACAAATCATATTCGTAAGCTTTGGATATTTATACGCTGATTAATTGATCAGCATAGAAATGATTCAAAACTTAGCATTAACAAGCAATGAATGAGTCGATAGATAAAATATAAATTCCGTTAGACAGAAGGCGAAGAAGTACTAAACCCATATCCTGGCGGGAATCGATCGGCAGTTGCAGAAGCAGTATTCCTGACCGAACTAGTCAGCATGAGCTACGGAGGGATTATGATTATATTATTAAATATGTACAAAAAATGTTCACAATTCGATTCAAGTTTTGTAGACCGTTTTGATTTACAATCGCATCAAAAACGACTTACCCATTTGACAGCTTTAACTCTTTGCATCCATATCGAAGTTCCAACTATACAAGATGATATAGGGGCATAAATGCCAGCGTACACTACAGCCAGTGTATTGTCCAAATAAGAAGTAGAAATATAATGCAAATTTACAGCAAATGCGATAGCCATCGGTATCTCGCCTGCAGTTGTTCCTACGAGGTATAGGTTTACCTATCAGATTTGCAAGATACATCAATTTACGGTTAGATGTAAACGTTGTGATAGCTAGTTTACATTATATTGACATTCTTACATTACTGATGAAATGCTCTTTTCTTTCTTCCGAAATGAACACATATACAACAGCGGCTGAAGCGAAGATTGTCTAAAAATTAACAATTGACGAAAAAAGTTGATGAAAATCCGAGAATTGCAATGACTGCACGTTACGTCAAGACTAGCTATTGATACCAAATAGATAATAACAACTCTGCGAGAAAAAATTTTAAAAGATTGCAATTTAAGAGGGAATACACATACTGTCAGTGGACATAATGCATCGGCAGCGTAGTTTCAGCGAGGTGTACGAAAGACTAAATTTCAAAATGGCTGGATCTACTGTACATTGTACAGTACAATAGTTCACAGTAAGATAACAGTAGTCGGGTAAATCCCGTTTCATATTTAGACAAAACCCCGTAAGCATTATAGATTTACTGGCATCAAGGAAGCTATGACTGTTGTTATCTACGGAACTAGTGCATGTACAGTATTGTATGTAGTCATGACGATTAACCCGTAAAAAATGATAATTAAATAAATATGCCATGAAATACTGTACCAGAGTATAGAAATTGCTTTCTTACTAAAATGTCATTCGTGCTTCCTTTGCTTGATGAGCTAATAGTTGCGTATCAGCTGACATCTATTCTGATTGCAATGTATATGCAACAATTGTACTACACTGTAGGTAGGGGCAATTTGCTTGAAATATTCGGAGTCAGCAAAACAGACTGCCACGTCCATACTAATGTACCAGTGTTTTGTATGTAATTTGGTCTGTTGCTTCATTTACTACTAGCAGAATCATGTTACAATGGAATACACATCAAAGATTACTAAAAAGAAAGACATGGAAACGGTAAAGTATCTATATGAATATCCTAAATTAATTAACCATGTCCGCTTAGTAGTGTAAACTCAGGTATATTTTAAACTTGCAATATCCTGTACACTGTAGAGTACAGTAGACTGTTCCAACATTTGTTAGCGATCGAATCTGAAACGCAAAATATAGTAATAAAACATACATACAGTACTGTACTGCACACTCAGTGTCCAGTATAGAGAGAGATATGAGTAGATTAGCATTAGCCCCATTTGTTTTGCGCTAAATTCATTGTACACTTCGCTGAAACAGTCCTACCGATGTAGTACTGTATTTCATGGTGAAGATCAGTGAAAAACCGAGCGGCGCATAGCCGATTTAGTCCAAATCGGGTTTGCACCGCTCGGTTGAGTAAATTATTGTAGAGACTTTTAGAAAAAACTAACAAAGACGATTTAACTAAGGTTAAGTACTTTATTAGCTTAATTATTAAAGGTCCAACATCAAAGAGAGCCGTCCTATGACAGAATTTAGACCAGCACTGTATCCGCACCATGGAATTTGAAGCACACACAGACCAATAAACATCGCATTTCACAAGGACTGCAAAGAGTCCCGTTATATAAGCCGAGGAAAGAGTCCTTTGCGAAATCATTGCAAGCATGCTAATCTGTAAATTAATATCTAGATATAGATATATCTACAGTATATATGAACATATCTATTGTATATTATCCATATTTATTTCAAATTCAAGTCTAAATTACTCACTTTACAGTCAGTTGGCTCAAATCAAATCCTATACTCATATCTAAAGTACAGTACTGTGCTATATCCGATATGATCCTAACACTCTATACAGCCACGCCAAGTAATTGAAAACATAACATCTCAAAGTGAATCATGTCCAGTCATTGGCACCAATTGTGCTGAGTATATATGACATATACACGCGTACTCGTAATGCTTCTAAAAAAATGCAAGGAAAAAGGCAAAATTCCATTTTATGTGAAATGAAATTCACAAAAAGAATGCAAGCCATATTCCTGCTGCACTGTAGTTTTGCCAATGAGTTTGATCACTTGCAGTAAGTTCAAGGTAGGTAGCTGTTTGTACAGTACAGGGTACAGGCTGGTTGCACTGTACAGTGTACAGTACACTGTAACAATTCAACACAATGAATCAATTCATTCTGTTAAAAATTGTCAATTACCTTCTGCCAGGCATAT